AGAATAATTCACATATCCCCAACCCCAACCCGTCATCCTAAACCCTAAATCCATACTCTTAACCTAAAAAAGGAGATTAAGGGAGTCTCAGGAAGGGTTTTTCCATACCCCAAAATTTCTTTGAAGGGTATGCCCAAGGGGGATGTTGAATATTTCTTAGACGCAATGAGAAACATTGATCTCCCAACAGCAGCCGGAAACCTCGTCCATGCTTGCGGGTTTAGGGGTCGAGGGTTGGGATGTTCCCCCTTATACTCACAGTTCCTAGTAGGGATAATAGGGGGGAGGTACTACAATCCCGAATAAGGACTGTTCGTAGACGGGGGAACATCCCGAGTTGAGGGGTTTAGGCTCTAGGATGGATTAGGGTGAGGCATTAGTGCTCTAGACCCTCGGCAGCATATGGCATATACTCTCGCACCCACAAGAAAACCAGAATTTAATCATCACCACTTGTCTTCTTTCTTGTGGATGAAGCCCTAAACCCTAAACCCTAAACCCTAAACCCTAAACCCTAAACCCTAAACCCTAAACCCTAAACCCTAAATCCTAAGATATCAAGCTGCTGTCTTGGGGGGCCAGAGCCGGTTTAGGGTTTAGGGTTTAGGGTTTAGGGTTTAGGGTTTAAAGGTTTTCTTCACGCGTGAAGGGCCCTGAGCCGACAGGCATGAAGACGCTGACGCACGTGGCTGGCTGTGCAGAGCATCACCAAGAAGCTTGGGCTAAACCCTAAACCCTAAACCCTAAACCCGAAACCCTGAACCCTAAACCCTAAACCCTAACCCCTCAACCCTGAGCCCTGAACCCTCAACCCTCAACCCTAAACCCTCGCGGCCGGGTATGCCATTGGTGATTCTCAAATGTCGAAAATTCGGTAGAGAGGAGGTCTCAACTTTTCATGTCTTGCAAGGCAGAAGCCCTATTGGCCCCAGACCCGGAGCAGCCCATTATAACCCTAAACCCTAAACCCTAAACCCTAAACCCTAAACCCCAAACCCTAAGCCCTAAACCCTAAACCCGAAGCCCCAGACCCGAGACCCAAACACAGCCCTAGCTCGGGAAGCGGAGTTGCGCACCGTAGATGTGCGTTGCGCTGCTCTTACGAACAGGATCCCGCTCCCAGGTATAGGCTTTCGGGTCTAAGGTTTAGGGTTCGGAGCTACCCCCACCCCACAGCCCTCAAATCCTCAACCCTAAAAATCTCCAACCCTAAACCACCAAACTCGAGGCCCTAAACCCTCAACCCTGAACCCTGAAACCCCCAAGCCCCAAGCCCCAAGCCCCAAACCCTAAACCCTAAAACCCTAAACCCTGAACCCTAAACCCTAAACCCTAAACCCTAAAAACCCTAAACCCTAAACCCTAAACCCTAAACCCCAAAACCCCAAAACCCCAAAACCCCAAAACCCCAAAACCCCAAAACCCCAAAACCCCAAAACCCCAACACCCCAGGAGTGGTCGAAGCGCGCGGAGGACTTCGCTTCCAGCTGGGTGGGCACCTTCCAAGCCTCGGACGATGTCACACGATGCTCTCTCTGAATAGGGTTTAGGGTTTAGGATTTAGGGTTCTTTAGTGATTTAGGGTGTAGGGTTTAAGGGTTTAGGGGTTTAGGGGTTGAGGGGCTTAGGGGGCTTAAGGGGCTTAGTGGGCTTAGGCGGCTTACGGGTCCCCAACCCCCACCTTCAGGTCCCTAAACCCTAAACCCGAAACCCTAAACCCTAAGCCCTAAACCCTAAACCCTGAGCCCTAAACCCTAAACCCTAAACCCTAATGATGTCTGGCCGGTCACTCCTCTGTTCTCGGGGGCTTTGGTGTTTAGTTTTTGTTTTGTGCTGTCCGGAACTGTGCAACCCGTCGTCCCGAAGAGGAGAAATGGACGCTACAGCTTGGGACTTCGGACTTTGCATTGTTCAGGATGCACCCTAGCTTATTCCCCTTGTTTTTTAGGGTTTAGGTTTCCTTATGGGCCCCTTTTTCAACCAGAAATGGTTGAAAAAGGGCACCCTTTTTATTCCTAGGGTACTCTTGGGCCTAGTACCTCGCTCAGATTTTGACTTAGGTGTTTTCGGGTTAGGTCAGGGGGTAACTCTTTAAGATTTCGGGTTTCCCTACACCCTAAACCCTAAATCCTAAACCCTAAACCCTAAACCCTAAATGTACGCTTCAGTGTTGGGCGCTGGCTCCTAGGACGGGCCCTTGTCACCGAGTTTCACATGAAGTTCGGCTCGTTGCCGGGGTCTCAGCTGGTTTAAAGGGTTTAGGGTTTAGGGCTAGGGTTTAGGGTTTAGGGTTTGGGGCTTAGGGTTTGGGGTTTAGGGTTTAGGGTTCAGGGTTTAGGGTTTAGGGTGCCAACGTCGCAAGGTTTCCTGGCGTTGGCATCAGGGTTGGAGGTTTAGCTTCTCTTTCCTTGGCTTGGATCTACCGCTGGCAGTTTGCAAGACCGTCCCGGATTCAACCTAACACCCCGGCCCATTTAGGGTTGCGCTGCTTCTTGCGCTT